ACGGCTCTGCCCGCCGCCGCCTCGTCGCGCTTCTTGCGCTGCTGCTGCTGCTGGCGGCGCTCGGCCTCGCGCAGGATGTCGAAGGGGTCCGAGTCGTCGTCCAGGAGCTGGTAGAAGCGATTGGCGACGGCGCAGCCGAAGCTCTCCTGCGTGACAGCGGCCACCGCGCTGCCCACCGCACTCTTCATCGTGCGCGGGGGTACCTCTCCCGCCCCGGCAGCCGCCACCGCCGAGGGTGCCGCGGAGCCGGAGCCGCGGGCGCGACGTGCGGAAGATGCAGAGGAGGAGGCAGAGGAGGAGGCAGAGACGGAGCGGCCGCCACGGCCCGGCCCGGCCCGGCCGAGCCCTGCTCAGCCCGGCCCAGAGGGCCCCGCCCGCCGGCCAATGGGGGCGCGCGGCCCCGCGGCCCCCGCCCATAACCACGGCCGGCCCCGCCCACCGCCGGCGCGCGCGGCCAATGGGAAAACAGAGCGGCCAACGCCGCGCTGGGCTCCGCCCCCAACGCCGCGCTGCGGCCAATCAACGCGCGGCACCGGTGCCGTCAATCACGGCTCCTGACCAATGCGGTGCCGCGCTCGGTTATTCACGAGGTGTCACTCGCACCCCAGGACACGGAGAGCGGGAACGTCCCTGTGAGGGAGGGACTGGGCATTCCTGCCTGAACCTGAGGGTATACAATCTTGGAGTCTTGGGACTTTTTTAACCACTCGTGGGATCCAGAGAAGGACTGTGACCACCACTCTCAACCAGACTGCACCACCACTCTCACCAACAGGTTTTCCCCTCTCCTTCTACTTTGGACTCAGGAGGGCCCAAAGAACACCACTCTGTTCATGCCCCAGGGTGCTGGGTTATACATTTGGGTCTTGTGGGTTAAAACCAACTGTCTGTATAATTGTATTTATCGTATCATTTTATTAAATTGTTATTCTGACTTATAATCTCTCTTTTGAGTTGGGTTCATTTCCCCTGCCGGTTTAAACCAGCACACCATCACATACATTTTCCAGCAATGCAATTCTACTGAACAAAATTAACTACACGAAGCCTTAATCGGAACAGTAACAAGCTACCTCAGCAGAGATGGACATGCTGATAGCAAGCACTTGTTGAGGAGCACACCTGGTGCCAGCAGCTCTGCATGTGAGCTGGGCCCTGGCTGGAGCCCCAGGAAAGGTGGCCAGTCACCCAGAGACCCTGCAGGACCCAACCAGCAACGAGAAGACCCCAGGTGTTGATATACTGATTTGACAGAAAGAAAAACTTGGAAGATGTAATAAGAAAGACTCAGATAAAAGATACTATGACTAATGATAAGTTACTACATAAGTCCATAACATACAATTAAGTCACATGCAGTGTGGTTAAGTATTTGCTATTATCTATCTAAAGGCCATCACCTTCTCAAAGTTTTCTGAATTTTGAAATATCACTAGAAACGGTTGAAGCATGCTTTAGAGAGGCAAAGTACCTCTTTTCGTTTTCATCTGTCATGTGTTTGTGTTCTGTTTCAGAGAGTTAGTTGTTCTTTTTATTTCAGAGTTTATTATCCCAAAACTCCATAGTCATCAGGTCCTTCTTGAGTCTAACTAGCTGGATAGAACACAGGAACTTTCTCCCTGCTTTCTCTTGAACCCTTGCTCTCTATCCTTTTACAATTTCTGTATTATGTCACTGTGATAAAAGGTAAACTTTGTTGTAGTAAGTAGGATTTGATCTGACTGCAGGTTGTATCATGTTTAATTATCTCAGTCCTTCACCTCTCAGAGAGAACTTTCTCTTTCTTCTACACTAAAATATTAATGCTTTAATACATTAAGCCAGTAGCATAGCATCAAAGTATTATAAAGAACAAACATATTCAATATTGTTAAGACACTATAGCTCAGATGATTCTTTAGAACTTTTTTTACATAATGTTACATGAACTGTTACTTTAATTCCCTGCGTAGTGTGTTTTATGCCCTTTAAGCCACACACATTCTGTGTGCATGTTTCCTCTTCCTGTAGCAGGATCTGGACAGCGAGTTCACTTCTCTCTGATTATTGTTATTACTACATGAAACACTATTGTTCAAAACAGTTAAAATATCACAAGTGGCATCAACTCACTTCTTCCCTCTATTGTGTTTCCTCCATGAACAAAGTTCTATTAGTTGGAATTAGAAAAATTTACAAGACCCATGTAAAGAAGTTAATCTTCTGCCAAGCCCTTGAATATCATCACAAAGAACAATGGGGTGGCACAGGTTAAACATGGAGATATTCAGTTGCTCACAATGCACTGCACCATTTTCAGTGTCCACAGTTCTGCGGACCAGCTCATAACATTAATTCCATCTGTCCATCTGAGTTCTTCAGCAGCTACATGCACTGTTGAAACATCAGGCAGGTAATTTTGGAAAATTATGAAGGGTATTTGCAGTTTGGTTTTTGGGATGGAATTATTTTAGCATGAGTCATTTCCCCCCCCAGTAGATTTAACATATCTTTCTGTATTACCAACATTGTTATCTTACCAGAACTGTTCACAGTGGGTTATTTTCAGGGCTGAAGGTTTTTAAGGGGTTCAGATCCAAGCATATGGAAACCAGTTTCCTCATTCTGGAAACAAGTGTTGCAAGCTGCAGCATTTTCTTTCTGGCCTGGTAATCATGGCCTGAGCTGGCACAGTAGTGGTAGGACTTCAACAAGTAACACTGGCTGTGAGAAGCTGGAGTATCGTTACTATGAACAAGAATTTGACTAAGCAAACATCTGAGTTAGTTTAAAAGGACAGTTGTGACAAACCAAACTGTAATTCATAATGAAAGGGCTGCCAATCTCAGGGTGGATAGTTAATACTGCAGTCCAGTTCTACAGCCTTTCTGTGCTCAAAGAACTGGTGTAGTCATACGGTGCAAAATTGGTCTTCCCTGCCCTTTCCTGTTCCTGTCAGCAGTGATGGTTGTGCCAACACTCCCAGAAACAGTGGCCTGCAGCATACAGACTGTGGTGAACATAACTGAGCAGGGGAAAAATCTCACCATTTATACAGCTCTGTGGCTTGTCTGTGCTCCTGATATTGGCCTCAAAATTTAGCTATTCATGTAAGAAACAGGATTTAATTCTTTCTCAGGCCATAACTGGTCAGTAAGACTCACTGCAATGGTAAGACACTGAGGCAAAGGGAGCATGTTGATGTAACACTACTAGTCAACTTCAGCATAAGAGGCCCACATCAAATGCCATTAATGTGCTTCTGCTTTAGAACAGCGAGTTCTATTGCTTAAAAAAAAAAAACAACACAGAAAACCAGCATAAAATAAGTGAAGTACTGCTGTCTCTGATACAGCTAAATTCTTTTCAGTTTCAAGTAACCAGAGTTCCAAAGGATTCATAAAGCAGGCAAGGTGGCTGCTTGCAGATTTAAAAACTGAACCTATGTTTTCACCAGCTGAAGCTGGACCAGTGTCACTGTATTTCCAAATCACTCCTAAGTAACACCAGTTCTTCCATACACAGCACTCACACAGGTGAGTTAAAGTTGACACAGAACAGGCTGTGAGAGCCTTGCACCCAAGCAGACCTGCAGCCTCCCTGTTTGGGGTAACAGGCTGCACAATTAGACTGGGTCTCGGTTTCAAAGGGCACAGGCTGGAAGACTAGATTTAAGATGCCATTTTAGTTAATCACAGTGTATAAATGCCTGAACAGCTATAATAGATTGGGAGGGGAAAAAAAATTAGAAAACCAAAACGAAACAGCCAAAGACCTCCACCCCTCAAACATAAATATACTAAAACTAGTGATCTGCACAAACTTCACAGAGTTACAGAATAATTAGGGTTGGAAGGGACCTCTGGAGAGCATCTACTCCAAGCCCCCTGTCGAGGCAGGGTCACCCAGAGCAGGTTAAATAGGAACGCATCCACGTGTGTTTGGAATGTCTCCAGAGAAGGAGAATCCACGACCTCCCCGGGCAGCCTGTTCCAGCGCTCTGCCACCCTCAGTGGAAAGAGGTTCTTCTTCATGCTGAGGTGGAAGTTCTTACGTTTTAGTTTATGGCCACTGCTCCTCGTCCTGTCGCTGGGCACCACTGAAAGGAGTCTGGCACCACCCTCTTTAAACGCCACCTGCACGAAGAACCTGCCCGTGCAGACGCCTACTGGCCACTTACAGTCCGGGGCCGCTGTCTGCAGCTGTACACCCGCGGGTGCCTCCCGGCCGCGGGCAGCGCGGCTGGAAGGGGCGTCTCCCCGACAGCGCCATAACGGCCGCGCCGCCCCGACAGCGCCCGCGCTCGCGGGGCGCCCTGCCCGCCGGCGAGGCGGCGGGGGCGGGGGCGGGGACGGGGACGGGGACAGGGCAGGGCAGGGCAGGGCAGGGCAGGGCAGGGCAGGGCCTGCCGGCCGCCGGAGCCCGTGCCCCCCCGGCCGGGCGGCGCTGCCGTGTCCGCGGTCCCTTTAAGGCGCTGGGCGCGCCAAGACCCCCGCGCGCCTGGGATCGGCCCCGCCCACGGACAGAGCGCGCCAAGCCTGCCCGCGCGCGCCGGCCCCGCCCCCCGCCGCGCCGGGCCAATCAGCGCCTCTCGCGGGGCCGCCTGCCCAATGGGATGGCAGCAGTCGCGGAGCCGCGCTCTCGGGACCCGCCTTCCGGGGCGGGGCCGCCGGCTTCCTCGACTCGCGATTGGCCGGCGGGAGCGCGCGCCCCTTGACGTTCGCGTGCGGTGATTGGCTGCGCTCGGGCGCGAAACGTAACGCGGGAAAAGCGGCGGGTCGGCCAGGGCGGCGGTGGCGGCTCCTCCGGGCGCGGCGGCTCCGGTAGCGCTTCGGAAAGGTGCGGACGCGCTGCCACCGCTTCGGCCCCGCCACTGCTAGGGCCGGGGGCCGCCGCTGACGGCGCAGGTCTGGTAGGGGGTGGCCGCGGAGGCGGAGGGGCGCGGGGGGCAAGGCACCGAGAGCGCGGGGGGCCGCCGTCCCGGTGATGAGCGTCTGAGGCGGAGCCGCGCGGCGACAGGTGGCGGCGGCTGTGGGACGTCCGTGCGGCTGCACGGCCTGGCGCGGGTGGCGGGGCCGTGCCCTCCCTCTCACCGCGCTCCTCTCGCCGCTGCCCGCGAGCGATCGGTGATGGCGGAGCGGCTGCCGCCGGGAGCCCCCTCGGTGATTTTTTGCCAGGACTCGCCGAAGCGCGTCCTGGTCTCCGTTATCAAAACCACCCCGATCAAACCCTCCCCGGCGTGGGGCGGGGGCGAGGAGCCGGTGCCCGTCCCGCCGGTCCCCACCAGCCCCGGCTTCAGCGACTTCATGGTCTACCCGTGGCGCTGGGGCGAGAACGCGCACAACGTGACCCTCAGCCCCGGGGGCGGCGACAGCACTGCCGGCCCCTCGGCGCTGCCGCCGCCCCGCGGGGCCGCGGGCAGAGCCCCCGCCGGGGACGAGGAGCCGGCGGAGAGCGGCGGCCGCCACCGGCACCGCAAGGTGAGTGCGGGGAGGGGGAACCCGCGCGCGCCTCCCGCGCCTCCGCCCGGGCGTTTAAAGGGAGGGCACTTCCGGCAGCGCGGCGCGCCCCGGGGCACAGCGGGACGGGACGGGACGGGATCGGATCGCGTCCATGGAGAACGCCCGTCCTCTACCCTCCCAACGCCAGGGCCGTGCCCAGCTCGGGGCTTCTCAGGGACAGGGAGCTCCTGCAGCGGGCCCAGCACGGGCTGCGAGGGTAGTCAGGGGACAGGAGCATCTCTCACACCGGGAAGGGCTGAGGGAGCCGGGCCTGTTCAGCCCTGAAAGGAGACGCTGAGGGGACCTCATTAAAGTGTGTAAATACCTAACGAGATTGACAAGAGGACTAAGCCAGGCTCTGCCTGTGATGCCGAACAACAGCACAGGGGGAACGGGCAGAAAGTGATGCACAGAAAATTCCACCTGAACATGAGGAAGAACTTTCTTACTGTGTGAGTGACCACACACCGAACAGGTTGCCCAGAGAGGGGTGGGGTCTCTCTCACTGAGGATATTCCAGAACCCTCTGAACACAATCCTGTGCCATGTGCTGTGGGATGGCCCTGCTGGAGCAGGGAGATTGGACCAGGTGACCTGCTGTGACCCCTTCCAGCCTGCCCCATTCCGTGGTTTTGTTGCCAGTTCCTCCCCGTGTTCCTGAGCGTGTGGTGGAGCACTGGCAGTGCCTGGCATCTCCCCTGCTGCCACAGCCCAGCCACCAGGAGCAAGCTGGGGATGGGCTGGACGTGGTCTGGGCTGGTTCTGTGCTGTCACGGCACCACTGTCACCATCCTCAGTGCCGTCACTCCGGGGCGTGCTGTGCCTGTTGGCCACGCTGCAGAGCGGGGAAGGTGCTGGAGTTTAGTTCCCTCGTTATTTACGCCCAGGATGGGATCAAACGTGGCCGGCCGAGAGCAGACACCGTCCGAGACCTGATCAGTGAAGGAGAGCACTCCTCCAGCAGGATACGCTGCAATATCTGCAACAGGGTCTTCCCAAGAGGGAAGTCACTGCAGGCCCACAAGCGCACTCACACGGGTGAGTAAAAGGGAGGGGTGCATTGCTGGGCTGAGTGCTTCGGGAGCACCAGGGAAGGAGTTAAAACCCTGCAAACAAACCACAGAGGAACCTCCCAACACTTGGCCTGTTAATATGTTATTGTAACTACTAATTTAATCATACTTTACTTCCAGTGCTTGTTAGTCACTCACAGTCTTTGTAGCTGTGTTTGTCGTGGCAAAATGTAGCAGCAATTTGGGCTGTAATAGTGTAGGGAAATTACAGAAATATTTTATCTGTTGCAGTTGCAGACCTGCTTTGTAAGAGGGAGAACTTTTTTTGAGCTTGGTGCTCTGCACTTGAGCTTGGTAGCACTTTGTATTCTGACTGCCTCTTCTCTGTTATTTTTTTCCCTGTTGCTGTTGTGTTTTTCACACCGCATTGAAGTTTCCTGTGAGAGGTTACAGTAACTTAGAAAGTAGATGGCAACTTCAGCACTGTAACACCCTAGAAGTGTAGTTTAAATGTTGAGAAAGAGTCCACCTGCTTAAAATTAGCACCCAGTTGTTTTTTCCCACCATCTAGAATTCATTTTCTTGAGTGGAGGTGGTCTTGCTAATTCTCTGAGCAGTATTTAGAAGGCAGCTTGCAGTTAAGTGAAAATGTAGGATGAACTCATTCAGCTGGGCTTGGAGATACTGTTGGTTTAGGTTTTTCAACCAAGCAAATACCTTTTTTTTTTTTAATTCATGTTTCAACAGCACTCTGTATTTGCAATAAAGTGTGAACTAATGTAGCTCACAGTACAGACACAACCATCAGCACTCCCCCCAAGCCAAGCAAACAAAAGCCCACAAAAACCTTGGCTCCCACCTTCGCTTCGTCTGATTCAAGTCCCTACAACTAATCTAGATAATGAAATTAAACAGTAGTTTCCTCATGGGTTTTGGTCAAAAGACATTCTTTCACTTGGCTGTACAAGCTGTTGAACTTGTAAGAACTTCTTACCTGAGCAGAGCTTACCCTGTGTCATTCCTCCGAGTCACCTCTGTTTGGTCTCCTTCCTGAGGAGCCCTCTCGGGGAAGGAGACACTTGCTGCCTTGTTTTGTCTGGTTGCAGTTTGCATGGAGAAGTCTTCCTTGGTGACTGTTCTAAGAAAATTTTGTTGACTTAAGTCTGGAATAAGTTTCTCATGCAGCCTCCATTGTTATGACTTTTCTCAAAAGTGAGACTTTCTCCTAATGAGATATTTCTGCAACCTCATATGTTATTTTAATGTTGACCTCAAGTATTTCACCCTAGTTCAGGCTATGTTAAGGATAAAATTTCTCTGGTTACAACTTGAATTACATCACTTGTCCATTTACTTCCTATATTTCTTGCTCTACAGGGGTCCATAGTTTCACTGGACAAAGCTTATGTGGTGTTATCTAAGAGTCTTAAATCAGAAAACATGGCAAGGAAAAAAAATATTTTTTTTCCTCTCTGGAAATAAGTATATTGTCCAGTAGCATAGAACATGTACTTCAGAGTACACCAGGACTTCTTAAGTAGTTGCAAGTGTCTGAGTGGCTAAAAGGAGAGCTTGCTTGTGTAAGTCTCATGCCAGGGATCACCACTGGGTACTATGACACATAGTCAGCTTTCATAAATCTCTGTTCATTATTTTTAAGGTGAAAGGCCCTATTTATGTGACTACCCAGATTGTGGGAAAGCCTTTGTACAGAGTGGGCAGCTCAAAACTCACCAGCGTCTCCACACGGGAGAGAAACCATTCGTCTGCTCAGAGAATGGTGAGTCATCAGAGACCAATTTGCAGCTTTCTAGGGTCAGACCAATACTGGAATTGTATACAAGTTCACTTGGCAAAGATACATAAAAGCCTTGGAGTTTAATTTTGGCTGAACTTCTGGGGTGATTCTGCAAATATGTATCTAAGTTGCATATGTTCTCTGCCAATAGATACTAACTTATAAAATGACGAGACATGTTACGAACCTTGCAACTTTGTTTTCAACCAAACCTAGGGTTTTGTGAATGAGGAAGGTTGGGTTCAGTGGCATCTTCATTCCACAGATGTTATGCTTAGTCACTGGTTGGCTGCTTTCCATAACGTGTTCTTCATTTTTGCTTGGTGTTTTTAAGGCTGTTTGAGCAGGTTCACACATGCAAACCGTCACTGCCCAAAACATCCCTATGCCCGGCTGAAGAGGGAGGAGCTCACAGACAGGCTGACCAAGAAGCAGACGGCTGACAATAAAGCTGTGGCTGAGTGGCTAGCAAAGTAAGTTCCCTCATGGTGTCACCTTCCTTGAAATAGTTATAAGGGTGGTTTGAAAAAGCATTTTATTCTTCAGAACAGTAAAACCCCAACAAACCAAAACTATACGCTCCTCCAGTACATATCAGTCCTCCTTAAAGGAGTCTGAACTCCTTTAAGACAGAGCTCCTCATGAGACTTTTTTTCTTCCAATTTTGTTTTGGTTTTGCTCTCTGCTTAAATGTCCTTCTTTGCTTGATCAACCCCTGCTAATACCTTGTTAGTGCTGCAGTCTTGCTGAATTTGCCCTTGTATGAGGGGCAACAACTTGTGTTTGCCTAGGGAGAAATGCCTGCTGGGAATGCTATGTAGAGGAGAAACCTGTCACAGATGTTCACTTGGGCACTTTACACTTAAAATACTGAATAAAGAAGGTTTCTGACAGCATAAATACTGTCCTATAAGGGCTGAAAGATAAAGTGAAATGCAGTGCTTAGTCAGATGCAAGTCAGTACTTGGGAGGATTTTGGCAGCTTTGGATTGTTGTCAGGTGTACTCATAGAATCAGCTGGGTTGGAAGGGACCTCTGAGATCATCAAGTCCAACCCTTGATCCAACCCCGCTGTGGTTCCCAGCCCATGGCACTGATGCCACATCCAGTCTGTCCTTAAACACCTCCAGGGATGGAGAATCCACCACTTCCCTGGGCAGCCCATTCCAATGGCTGAGCACCCTCTCTGGAAAGAAATTCTTCCTAATATCCAACCTAAACCTCCCCTGGCACAGCTCAAGACCCAGCCCTCTTGTCTTGCTGAGAGTTGCCTGGGAAAAGAGACCAACCCCCCCCCGGCTCCCCCCTCCTGTCAGGGAGTTGCAGAGAGTGAGGAGGTCTCCCCTGAGCCTCCTCTTCTCCAGGCTGAGCCCCCCCAGCTCCCTCAGCCTCTCCTCACAGCACTTGTGCTCCAGTCCCTTCCCCAGCCTCGTTGCTCTCCTCTGGACCTGCTCCAGCCCCTCAATATCCTTCATTTGACGAGCGTTCCCCACATTTGGTGTTACAGATACTGGGAGACCAGAGAGCAGCGCGCTCTCGCTTTGAAGACCAAAGCGATGCAGAAAACGGACCAGGAGCAGCAGGACCCGATGGAGTATCTCCAGTCTGATGAGGAGGACGATGAAGAGAAGAGCAGCTCTCACTCAGCTGCCTGCCTGCGCCGGCTGCAGGAGCAGCGCGAGCGCATGCACGGAGCGCTGGCTCTCATCGAGCTGGCAAACTTAGCTGTGGCACCCCTGAGACAGTAGATGGGAGCAGTCTCTGCCTACACAAAACGTTACCTGCTGGTGTCACTTAACCAGTTAGATCCCAAGCATAAGCTAAGCACCTTATTTGCTTATCATAGGCTGCTATTCTGTAGAATTTATGAAGAATGTTGTTGCCCCCGTAACGCGGGGTGAGAGAATTGCACTTTTGATAAGATAGAAGACATATGTAAAGTTTATAAGTGTTTTGTAAATATAGGGTTGACAAATTTATGTGTCTTGGGAAGCTAGATTTTGCAAGGTTAACTCATTTATTTGGAGCAGTTTTCACAGGAAGCACTTTCTGAACAAAGTGTTCGCAATTAGCAGAATGGTACATGTGGCCAAAGAAGGCTGACAAAAAGAAAAGCATTTATCTGACTATTTAAGCAAATTTATAAAAAGCGATAGGTCTGGGGATACTGTTAAACAGCAACAAAACTGTGTTTTTCTAATGTCAGTATGTCTTTACCTAGTATCATCAAGGTGAAAGGCAAAGGTTAATCATCTCAACTTGCAGTGGGAAAGGAACTGCTTCGTGCAGGAAATCCTAAGGTTGTTCAGTATCTTCACTGTGACTGCTCAAGGTATGAGGCTTGACTTTGCTGCTTTACATTTTCTGATTTGATTTCGGCAGAATCTCTTGGTAGCACTTGTTATTCCTAACATGTGACGTTGGGAACTTTTGCACATTGTTTTGTCTGAAAATGATTAGTCTTGCAAAGTCTAGACAAAGTTAAACAATTGGTAATATTTTTTCAGATTTTTTTGACCCTGTAGTGGTTTGGCACTTGATTTTGTTGATAAAGGGGGTATTTACAGGGTGGTATGGATTTCTAGTTAACTATTCCAGATCTTCTATTAGCAAACACTAAGTTTTAAAGTATTACTTTCATATGATGATCAGCAGATATGAGCCTCCGTACTTTCTGTGCCTAAAGCCACCTTACTGCTTTATTTCAGGATAACATGCCAATTTTGTGTTCACTAACCATAGCACAGCTATCAGTTAAACACTGCAGAAAGTATTCACTATACAACTAGAAAATAGGCTTCCAAAGATAGTTACAAGTGTGTTAACAGTGGGATTTCGTATATTTCCCAAATAAATGAAGTTACAGAATGCTGCCTAGTACTCAGATGTTGATATAAAATGTTTAACAGGGTATCTTGTCACTTTGAGAATGCTGTATACTTTTCAGTAGCATTGTCTCATGGTGATCTTTTTCCATAATTTTCTTTGAAGGCAGCCAGAGATTCCTAATATTCTAACAAAACTTTGTTTTCAGATTGGTCTTCTTGTTGTGTGGTTTTGTTGTTGGTTGTTGTTATGAAGCTACTGCTTAAGGGGATATTAATAATGTGCATTTACTGACCTGCTTGCTTTAACTCCTTCCTTTTGTTAGAGGTCAGGAAATTCAAATGAGAAGGGAAGCTTCTTTCACTCTCACTTAAACAAGAGGAAGAAATAATTTTATCAATCACTTGGTAAAGACTGACCAGATGCATACAGCTGTTCCAGAAAAGTAGAGTGGTTTTACACCAGGAACTGCAACTAGAGAAATGTGTTCTCTGATAACCTGTTGTGTTTGAAAATCTCATTAACCCAGTTCGTTTAAATCTTGTATTGATGCACTTAGCTAAAGAGTAATTGAATAATTAAAATAAAAATCACTTGCATTGAATGTAAATGATTTTGCACCAGTGATACGGTTTAATTTTTGCTTCAGCTTCTGAAAAAAATAGAAAACACTAGTCATACTAGGCTTCTTAGCCTATGTAAAACTGGTAATTCACGTGTGTAGGTTTTGAGTTTCTCAAAAAAATTACATGCTGTTGACTGTTAATCTGGCTTCATGCAAATAATCTGATCCCAAAATGAGCCCTGGACTTAAATCCGTTGTAGTTCTGAGTCATAACTGAGAATTGCTCCTGAGTAGTGTTTCAAAGGGCAGGAGACTCTGTAATTACCAGCCAGTTGCAGACTGGTGTTGTAACTTCATTAGGATTTTTTTTTTTCCCTAGTCAGCTGTAATGCTTTGGGCAACTTGCAGGATATTTCCTCAAAAATGACAAGTACACTGAATTGTAGTAGACAAAATTCAGACAGCTGAAGCAGTTCTGGATCATGACAAGTTTTGGGTAAAATACCAAGTAAAAGAAAAACCCAGTGTGTGTAAGACTGCTTTTTGTTTTATTAAGTGATTACATACAAGGAGTCATGAAAGTGTTCAGTGCTTTGAAAGATTAAGTTGTAGTTTGGCATGAGTTAAAGGCAGAAGAGTTGATGTGCTGTCATTCTAATAGATGCTTTGAATAAAAACTTTAATTTTCAGGTTTAATGTGTGCTGTTTGGTAATCCTTTAAGTATTCAGCCTTGTTTCTGTAGCGCTGACAGCCCGACTTGTTGCAGAGGGTGAAGGTCCAAATTTGACCCAAGTTAAACCACCCGAGGCAAATTCCATAGAGCGTTTTTTCACAATTCGGCAGAGCTGTGGGGGCTGCTGGAGCCTGTCCCTGCCGCCGTGCCGGGGGGCTCGCACCTCTCCCTGGCCCTCGGGCGAGTGCCCGGAGTGCGACTCGTTCCCACCGGGATGGTTTGACTCCAGCGGGGGCTCGGCGGCACTGCGGGGGGGTGGCCATGAGCCTCGGGAGCCGCTGAGGCGGCGTCGCGGCGCCCCGGGCTTTCACCCCGAGTCCTCTTGCTCGCCGGCCGAGCCCCCCACAGCCGGCCCCCCAGAGCTGGAGCCCTCAAAGCCGGGCCCCCACAGCCGGCCCCCCAGAGCTGGAGCCCCCACAGCCGGGCCCCCACAGCCGGCCCCCCACAGCCGGCCCCCCACAGCCGGCCCCCCACAGCCGAGCCCCCAGAGCTGGAGCCCCCACAGCCGGGCCCCCACAGCCGGCCCCCCAGAGCTGGAGCCTCCACAGCCGGCCCCCCACAGCCGGGCCCCCACAGCCGGGCCCCCACAGCCGATCCCTCAAAGCCGGGCCCCCACAGCCGGGCCCAAGAGCGGCGCCGGGGCGGCAGCAGCGCCCCCTCGGGCGGGGCCTGGATCCGCCGCTCCCCGGCGCGCCCGGGCCGCGCTGCCGCCGCCGCGCTCGGGGCCGGGCCGGGGCGGAGGAGCAGCAGCAGCAGCCGCGGGATCAGGAGCGGAGCGGGGCAGCGGCGGGCCCTGCTCGGCCCCTCCTCGCCGCCATGAGCGCCGGACAGGCCGCGGGAGAGGCGGCGGCGGCCCCGGCGCTGCCCAGGGTGCTCTCGGCGCTGTTCTACGGGACGTGCTCCTTCCTCATCGTGCTGGTCAACAAGGCGCTGCTCAGCGCCTACAGGTGAGCTCAGCCTGCAGGTGAGCGCCGGCCAGGCCGGGCCCGCGCGGTCCCGGCCCGAGGGCAGCGCTGCCCCGAGAGCCGGGCCGGGCTCCCCGGCTCGGACCGACCCGTGCCAGAGTGTGCGGGCACGGCGGGCCCTGCCGGGAACGGCGCGTCCCGCGGCTCTGCCTCCCGAACAGACTCGCCTTCCTCCTTCTCGGGGGTAACCAGAAATGAAAAGTGAACTTCGTAAAATTGCTTAGTCACAAAAACACTGAAGGACTCTTTGAGTTGACGGGGCTAATCCCATCGTTCCGCATCCCGTGATGTGGAATCGTTGTGATAATTGGCATCGTGTACCACTGTGTTAACTGCAGACTTCGTACACTTTCCATTCTCTTGCAGCTCGGGAAACAGAGGAACTTGAGCATTCCTCTCCAATTCATATTTGCCAATCTGGATTAATACTTGGACTTCGATGATTCTCGTGGGTCCCTTCCAACTCAGAATATTCTATGACTGTCCTGTGGCTGTGATTTTTCTCACCATTAATATATTTTACTTTATCTTTGCTCTAGTGTTTTGTGGTTTGGCTCATTATGTACCAAAATCAGAACAAGAAAAGAACAAAAGGAAAAAGAAAAGTTTAAAAGCCAAACTGGCTGTTATTTTCTAACATTCGCTGCTGTTGGAACACACAGGAACTGTGTATAACATCTCTCAGTATGCAGATGGAGAATGGCCAGTTACTGCCATACTTCGAGTAGTTTTAACTTGATGTACATAAGGGGTGGGGGGAAATGGAGACACTCAGGCTTTTCAGGTGTTCTGCTTGAGTTTCTGCCTTCCTAACTTTTGAGTATCTGAATCGAGGGATATCCAGGGACCTGCGATGTGGATACTAATTAGTATTATTAATATACTTAGTATTATTAATATTATTAGTATTACTAGTAAGTAGTTCTGTAGAACTAATAATTTAGTATCCAGGGAACTACAGGCTGGTCAGTCTCCCCTCAGTGCCTGGCAAGATCACAGAGCAGGTCCTCCTGGAAACTGTGCTAAGGGACATGGTAAATAAGGAGGTGATTTGGCTGCACAAAGGGCATATCATGCCTTGACAACTTTGGGGGCCTTCTACAACAGGATTACAGCAGTGGTGGATGAGGGAAGGGCACCTGGACTTGTGCAGGGTATTTGACCACGTGACATTCTTTGCCTCTAAGCTGGAGAGACATGGATTTGGTGGATGGACCACTGGGTGGATGAGGAATTGGCTGGATGGGCACAGTCAAAGAGCTGCGGTCAACGGCTCAGTGTCCAAGTGGAGAGTGATGAGTGTTGTCCTTGGAGACAGGTGCTGGGACTGGCACTGTTTAACATCTTTGTTGGTGTGTCAACAGCAAATTTGTGTAGTTGACACACTGGAGGAAAGGGATGACACCCAGAGGGACCTTGGCAGGCTCGAGAGGTGGGCCTGTGTGATGTTCATGAAGTTCAGCCAGGCCCAAGTGCAAGGTCCTGCCCCTGGGTTGAGGCAATCCCAAGCACACATACAGAATGGGAGGAGAATGGATTCAGACTAGCCCTGGGGAGAAAGCCCTGGGGTTGTTTGTGGACAAAAAGCTTAATATGAGCAGACAATGTGTGCTTGCATCCCAGCAGGCCACTTGTATCCTGGGCTGCGTCAAAAGAAGCGTGAGCAGCAGGTCCAGGGAGGGGATTCTCCCCCCTCTGCTCTGATGAGACCCCACTGGAGGACTGTGTCCAGGTCTCAGACTCCCAGCACAAGAAGGAGCTGGAATGAGTCCAGAGGAGGACCACTAAACTTATCACCGGGCTGGAGCACCTCTGCTGTGAAGACAGGCTGAGAGAGTTGGGGTTGATCAGACTGGAGAAGATTCTGAGACATTATTGTGGCCTTCCAGTACCTTAAGGGTGCTACAAGAGAGCTGGAGAAGGACTTTTTACAAAGGCATGTAGTGATAGGACAAAGGGGAAAGGCCTTAAGCTGAAAAAGGCAGGTTATTGTTAGGAAGAAATTCTTTACTGTGAGAATGGTGAGGTACTAGAACAGGTTGTCCAGAGAGGCTGTGACTCTCCACCCCTGGAGCTGTTCAAGACCAGGCTGGATCAGGCTCTGGGCAACCTGGAATAGTGAAAGGTGTCCCTGCTCATGGCAGGGAGCTGCAGCGAGATGATCTTTAAGGCCCCTTCCAACCCAAACCATTTTATGATTCTATCCATGCTTTCAGCTAAAGCTAACTGAAGCTGAAAGGAATGGTAGGATTTGGTAGGAATGTAGCCCTTTAGCAGACAAGGGATGTTTCTACAACTTTTACCCAGGAATCTGATTTTCACAGAAACATATTACTAGTACATTTAGACTGTAGAGATAAGCTTCCAAGTTAGGGCAAGTGCAAGAGATTTAAGTTACTATACCTTCTCAGAATGCATAATTTGTATGTGAGGCCACTCCAAAAATGATGCATTGTTAAGAGTTCACTGAGTGTGTTACCTTCACTTACAAATGTCCCCCAAAATATTAGCAGTTTAGAATTGACCGCCTATGCATTTCCAATATTATCTAGATTGTGTTTTGCTGCGTAAATAAAATATCAGGACTACAATAAGTGTAGCCCTGAGCACTTCTGAAACACAGGCCCATCATTCTGTCAGTTGCTGGTTTTGGTATTAAGTTTAAACTTTTTTTTTTTTTCTGATTATTGTTTTTCCATTCCTCAGTATTAAATATCTGCCAATATTTTTCAGCTTCCCATCTCCAGTGTTCCTTGGAATCGGACAGGTATGTTCATGAGTAAAGCATATTTTACATATTCATTATTTTATAAGTTAAACTAATGAAAATAGAGTTAGATTTCAGAGGGCCAAAATCCCAGTTATATTGAACTGCTTGTCTTCTGGATTAGATAGGCTATAGGAACTGTAATTTGCTTTATGGAGAACTGGGAAGTTGTAAGTTCAAGTCAAAATTATTGCCTGAAAAGAGTCACGTAAAAGACTGGGAATGCCATTTATTTCTCCTTACAAAGTTCAGCAATTAAGAGATCAGACCTTCAAAACTGCCAAGGTTTGTTCTAGAAAGTGCATACATCCTGTAAGAGTCCTTGAGCATTTGTGGATTATATTAGATATTGCCCCTCTTTGTAGCAAAACCATGTATTTCCTCATAAATATGTCCCTCATTTCCTAACAGTTTTGCAATAGCACCAGCACAAAATTTTGATTCTCTGTTGCTTTATTTGCAAATCACAGTACTGCAGCAGCAATGTTTTTTTTTATTTTTGTTGTCAGTAGGCATCGTAATAAAACAAAATAAAAAAAAGTTCAAATGTTTGCAGGCATGGTCTGTAAAGAAGAATGTGTGACTGGGGTCACTGGGAAAGATAGAGCCTTGAAGCAAGCTTTTTTTATTTAGGCAAATACATTTTAAAGAGGATTTGCTTTCTGCCAGGGTTGCATGCCATGGGGTAGTGAGGAAGAGGTTAAAACAGGGTACTACAAGCCTGACATCTCTGCTCTTCAGTGCTGGAGACAGTAAAATGTCTTGTAAAGTTTTTGTGAGCGGGAGGGAGAGTTTTACACATCCACACTGCTCAAGGAACCTCAGATCATGTTTCAGTGGAAGACTACAAAATGCAGCAATAATCCATGTGATGCTATGGCTTTGTTTCATTGCAGAACCTAAGACTTAATGGCATTTCCATTTTTTTTTTGTTGACTGATCCTTCCAAGATTTCCCTGCACACTTTGTGAAGTGCATAAAGTATGGTATAACACTTTAGTCTGCAGAACATGACTCCCCTGCATTCTCTAGATAGTCAACTACTGTATTTTTGTATAAGGAAAATTTTACCTTTTTTTTGACTCCCTGAGGACAGCATTAACACTTGTGGTGTGATATGTGATTGCTAAGATATTCATCTTCATTCTGTCTATATCTGTATTATTTCTTCCTGATATTATCTACAGACTGATCAATGCACAACCACTGTCTTGCATTAGCAAAAAAAAA